TGTGACTCCACCATTCCCCAGGGTTCGGGGGCCTCTGCACCTACCCTGCAGACAGGAATGGAGAGGCTCACTGCTTCCTAAAGGCCCTTCCTGAATGGAACACTCCCACTCTTCCTCCATCCCAACAGTGCAGGCTTGTCCCACTGCCCCCAAACTTCCAGGCACTGGGGTGTTTGGCTGGACAGGGGTCTTCCAGAGCCACTTCCACATTATGGAGTCTCTCCCAGAGTTAGCATGACAAAGATGCTCCTTATCCACCTGGTTAACCCACTCACCAGACTAACCAGTGCTCTGCAGCACTCCTCCACAGCCTCCTGAATGCCAATGGCCAGCAGGCCACTTGTCCCCTTTGGGTGTCGGCCATGGAGTGGCATACTTGCCAAGCGTCTGTTGGGTTGGTTCCCAAACCAGTTTGCACCAGCCGCACTTGTTATTGTGAGGAGGTCATTGAACTCAATATCCCTTAAGCTGGTGAAATACGAGTGCAAAAGGAAGAGATTGATTTCTGTGAAAACTCGATGAGGATTAGTTGCTACAAAGAAATCCTGTTAAATTAGGTGTGGAAGAAACAACCACAAAAGATCTGTTAAAAAGAAAAACCCACAAGAATCCAGAGGGATTGTGCCATCAAGTTGCTACACAAGTGTCTGCAGGTCCTCGCTTAACTGTAAATAAACCCAAATTGGAAATCAGAAGACAGATCTGGCTGTAGTTTATTTAAAGAGGACAATGTGCAAGGCCCTAGGAGAACGAAGACTAGATTGGAAAGTGAGGGCATGTTTATGTTTTTGAGTGGATAAAATATTCAAGGTATACATCATTTAAAAGAATTCCCTCTTACGTCATTTAAAAGAATGGGTAAGAAAATTACCAATAGTTGCTAATTTTTAAAATCTAAGAGAAAGAGTATAGATATCAGCTAGACCAGTTTCTCAATTTTCATGTGTATTTGAGAATTTTCACAATAAATATTTTTTAAAAATCCTTTTCCTCTGTCCATCTCTCCCCTATTTCCCCCCCTGCTGTTTCTTTGGTCTGAACCAGAGGGTTCTTCTGAGGATGGGAGTGAATGGGACATTTGTGGGGCAGTTCCTATGATCCAAGCACGAAGCAGGCCTGCCTCCATTTACTCCTCATGACAATGCTTCAATTCCTCCCTACAGAGGAGGAAACCCAGGCCCGGAAGTTTGCGGTCATCTGCTCCCTGTCATGCGGCCGAGGAACGGGGAGCCCAGGCAGGGGTGGCTGTCTGCTGAGCTCTTGCTCCTAMCAGTGGCCCTTCCCTGCCAGCAAGGAGTCTGTCCTGGATCAGGTGGCCCCTGCTACCATACAGTAATGGACCTCAGCCACCACAGACAGGGGCCTGTCCCTTCCCCCTGCCCAGGCAACCCCTCCTGTCCCCAGCAGCTTAATATATTGGAATCAAGAGACAGCAGAAACAGAGGGAACAGAGMTCACAATTCACAAGACATCTGGGCTGGAAAGGGTGAAGCAAAGAGTCTGAGGCCAGAAAAAAATGTGTATTAAATAGGCTAATGCCAGTTGCTGTGCTGTCCCATGCTTTAGCCGCTAGCTGTATGGGGCCATTTATAGTCAAATTCATTAAAATTAAGCTGTGCTTAAAACTCAGTTCTTTTATTGCACTAGACACACTTCAAATTTGGCTACTACACTGGACAGGACAGATACAGGACACCTCCATCATCATAGAGAGCTCTACTGCACAGCGCTTGCGTGGCGTGGAGGGTAAGATCGCAGGGAGACTRTGCAACCAGATCGCTGGTTTTCAATGTGGGCTTCTCCCTGCTGTTACCCTGGGCCTCAGTTTATTCACCTGGAAGATGGGGATAATAATGTGAGAAGCCCATGAATCTGGGGCCAGTGGTTAGTCAGTTAATCAAGACAAATCACACAGTTGTCATTTGTTTCCCCAAAGAACACCCCCATCTTCCTGGGAACCGTGGGGCTCTGGCCTGGAAACACTGGTATTTCCCTGGCAATAGTCAAGGTTCCATCTCTCCAGGTCTTCAACCACAATGTTTTTCTTCCAGTGCCCAGAACATTCTGGAAGACCTTAAAATCCTACCAACATCATTCTTGCATTAGCAAGAAGCAGCTTTTACTTTCTTTCAGGCCAGATCTCTGATAATCAGGCTGCAGAAAGGCCACAGCTGCCATCTCCARGTAGCTAGTACCTGATGTCCCCTGAGGTTAGAATAATCCATTCTAACAAGAAAGAGATCTTATCAGGAAGAAACGGCCAGGACCTCTGGTCTTCTGGAAAATTACTGAGCTATATTTTAAGTATAAAAGTCAATCTCTTAAGATTACAATTGCCCTGCAGAATAAGCAGTTTGGAAAGGGGAGAGGAGAATGAGTGGGGTGGGGGGCTGTGACAGGAACCTGAGCTCTCCGTGTTGAGTGCTTGTTCACACATTTCCATTCAGTGTCCCCGGGAATCTGTTAGGCAGCCATCCCCGGCCCCAGAGTCCCAGATGCCGAAACCAAGGCTTAAAGAGGTGAACTCACCTCCCAAGATGGAAGGTAGGCTGGCTCTGCTTTCTCAACCCCTGCCCACCTCGGGTGGCCTTAGACGAGTCCCCTCTCTCATTCTGGTCTCACCTTCCTCTCCCTGACGTGGGAATGGCAAGGCCTGGCTGGCTCACAAAGCTTTCGAAAGGCTCYAGACTCAGATATGAAGGGACTGAAGGGTGCCTGGGGCTCACCTGGTGGTTGGGATTACTTTTCTGTTGTCCTCAAAATTGACACCCTTGGAGCTCTGCAAGAAGAAACACCCAGGCCTTCTCGAGGGGTCACRGTTGTGACACTAGCACAACAGGACAGAGGAAAATCACTAGGTCCCCTGACCCCCAAAGCAGGAAGGAGACAGAAGCAGGGTATCTCAAGGGGGGGCCTCGGGTGTTGCTGTTTTTRGTGACTGTTCAGCTGACGATTTTCCAAGCTGAGAAACACACATACACAAACTCTAACCTCCTCTGCCTTAAAATAGAGCTGCTGAACCCAAAATGCCAAGTACAGGGCAGAGTCACCTGCCTGGAAGGCAGACAGTCCCCTCCCCCCAGCCCCAATAATACCCACCCACAGCAGGTGCATTAGACAGAGCACCTCTCAGCTGCGTGTCACAGGACCTTTGCAGAGGAGGGGGAGTGTGGTGGCCCAGGCTCCCTATTCCCTTTTCTGGTAAGGACAGCAAGGTCCATGGAGCTGAGGGGGCAGGGAGGGAGGTGCCAGCAGCATCAGTCCAGACAAGTATTGTGATCTCAGGAGTCAAACAGCCCCAAGTTCAAGTCCTGCCTTGGCCCTGACCTGAGAGTGAGGACTTGGCAATTCTACCCCCTGCCTGCTTCCTGGACACTGAAGTAAGGGTTCCATGTGAAGTCCATGAGATGTCCAGTCCAGACAGGTCTCCCCAGCCTTAGCCTTGACCCTGCTTCTGGAAACAGATTTCTTTATCTCCTCCCTGCAATCCGGTAAAATTAGGGTGGCTGCAGGAAACAAGGCATGGGGAAGGCTGGAGCCAGCTCSGGGACACACTAAGGCTGCAGCAGAGACCTGGGGAGGCTGGGAGCTCCCTGCTTGGAGTCCCCAGCAGGCTCACCAGGACGCTGAAAACAGTGTCACTTGGTACTGGGGAACTGGAGTGGGATCCGGAGGAGGGGGTCAATGGGAGGCCTAACACTGAGCCGCTCAGGCCAAAGACCACCCTGAGCCCTCTCCTTTCCCCGCCACGTAACTCACCAGCAAGTCCTAGCCCTCCGCATATCAGAGAACAGCCCCAAATCTCAGGGGCTTCACACAATGGAACAGAAGTTCAAAACCAGTGTTCCTGATGGTGCATGGCCTTGCGATGTCTCTTTAGTGTTCTGCCTTCAGCCTGCAGGTGGGGAACAAGGGGAGCACTTTAAGGGGCCAGACCTGGGAGTGGCAGACATCACTTCTGCCCATTGTCTACTGTCTGCAGCTTGGTCATGCGGACACTCCCAGACACCAGGAAGACCCCTTAACATGCTGGCTGGGAACCCGGCTCCACTTGCCTAAGGYACTCCAGATTCATCCAGTTCTCTCCTTCTCCAGGGCCATGTGCAGGAGCCAGACCACCTTAACCCACTTGGAGTTACACCAGCCTCCCCTCTGCTCTGCGCCACCTTCCACATGGCAGTCCGATGCTCTTTTTTTTTTTTTAATTTTTTAGTTGTAGCAGGACATAATACCTTTATTTAATTTATTTTTTTTTGTGGTGCTGAGGATCAAACCCAGCGTCTGGCACGTGCTAGGCGAGCCCCCTATGGCTGAGCCACAGCCCAACCCCACCACCATGCTCTTTTTTAAAAATGTGACTCAGATGGCTGTGTTGTGTGTGCGCTGCGGCAGCCTTTCTGTAGTTTTCAGTCCTGCTGAAGAACAGACCCACATAAGACCCTGTGCCGAGTCTGTTGTCTCCCTTCTGTCCCCCACCCCACCCTGCACCCCAATTCTCTGGACTCCAGCCRCACTGGCTTCCTKGCTGCTCCTGGCTGCCAAGCCTGCCCCCTTCTGTTTGGAAGCAGAAGCCTGCACTGGCTGCCTGGGTGACTCACCTGGGTGACTTTCCCGACCACCTGAGCTGCTGCTCAGGAGCATCATCCTAGGGCACTGCTTTCCTCCTTTTCACACGGTCTTGAGTGACCTTCGTGTGTGTTAGCCAACCCTGCTACAGCTTTGTTCTCACCAGGAGTCCTGTGTGCATCAGTAGGTGCGGGGTGGACTCCTGCCGGATGACTGACCGACGGAAGGAAAGCGGGCGCGGAAGGCTGGCCCACGATCGCACCGAGAACTAGCGTGGAGACGGACTTCTGCAGACCCGGGCCGTCAGGGTCTGAGACCCCGGCGCGGGCAGGAGCCGAGGCCGCCGCGAGGGGGCGGAGCGCGGGGGAGGGCAGGCCCCGCGCTGCTGTCGGCCTGGCGCTGCGCGTCCGCCGTCGGGGCGCGGGCCGGGCGCCATGGGGACGGCGCGGGCGAGCGCGCGCACCGCGGCGCTGCTGCTCTGCGTCCTGTGCTACCTGCTGGCGGGCGCCGCCGTGTTCGACGCGCTCGAGTCCGAGGCGGAGAGCGGCCGGCGGCGGCTGCTGGCCCAGAAGCGCGGCGAGTTCCGGAGGAGGTTCGGCTTCTCGGCCGAGGACTACCGCGAGCTGGAGCGCCTGGCGCGGCAGGCAGAGCCGCACCGCGCCGGCCGCCAGTGGAGGTTCGCCGGCTCCTTCTACTTCGCCATCACCGTCATCACCACCATCGGTGAGCCGCCCGGCGCGTCCCCTCCGCGCCGCCCGGTCCCAGCCGCGGGCGCCTCCGGGTTTCATGCCACCTCCGTCCAGCGGAGCGACTTTGGACGGGTCCGAGCCTCCCTGGCCTCCTGCCGAGTAGGGCTGTCAGTCAGCCCAGGCAGGACCTGCAGGCGACAGTGTTAGTTGAGAGGCTGGCGCCCGAGTGCTCGGACACGCCCCAGGGGCTGGGGGACAGACGAAGTGGGGCTGCAGGACCAATTGCCCAGAGCTGCTTCCTTGCCCCGTTGCATCGCACCAGCTGTGTGTTGCTTAAGCTCTCAGAGTCACATTTTTCTCTTCTGAAATTACAGTGTTTATCGATTAGCTCTGTTCCGGTTTTATGGGGAGATTATTATCAAGAAGATAATAGGTGCAAAAGTTTTAGCGCACTGCCTGACACAGAAAGCACTACCAAAAAAAGTTTCTTGCGTTATAATGATAATAATTATTATTATTACTCCATGAGAATAGAGACCTCATCTGTGTTAGTCACTGCTGTCTGGCCGAGTGCCTAGCCCATAATAGATGCTCAATAAATATTTTGTTAATGGAATGACTAATTACCACAAGCTTTGGACCACACCCTCAGGGATCAGAGCAGTTCTTTGCAGCATCTGGGCCACCAGCTGTTGTCATGACTACCGTCTGACTGGTACCTACTGAGTCTAAGTCTGGGGAAACCGCAAAGGAGAGAAGCATGAGCTGCAAGGCTCCAAGCTTGGTGCAGCCACCCCACAGGTTTAGCTCAGGATGTACAGGCACCTCCTTGGGCTGGGAGCAGTCGTCTGGAAGTCCCAGCCCTGGAGAGAGTTTCTCCTTAATGCTCTTGCAAGAATGGGAGCTGTGGGCTTAGGGGTGGAGTTCAAAGCACAACTTGGACAATTACATGGAGTTTTGTGTTCCTTTCCACTGCCACCTACCCTCTCAGGCAATTGATTGTACCTCTCTGAGCCCTGGTTTTATCAAAGGCAAAGTGCAATTGTTCCTACCTCACTGGGTGGTTGTCAGGTTTAGGTGAGGTCAAGGCCCCGTGCCTGAGGCTAAGGAGGCACTGTTCACTAGTAATAATAATTCCTTACTGTCAACTCTGACTCCAGCTCCCATTCAGCCCTTTTGCCCCCTCCTGTCTACATAGGCACCACTGCTTCTCTATCTGGGTTCAGCCTGAGACCTTCCCTGTCACTGTGTCACTGTGGATGCCACCCCACCCACCTTTTCGCCCTTCCCTACATTTTTTGGAGGCCGTCCAGATGGGTTTGGCTTCCCTCCTGCCTGTATCCCTCTGCCATGCCTGTGGAGCCCTGGGAAAGAATAACTGAGTGGAAATAGGAGTTTGCCTTGGCTGACCACTTGGGGGCGCCACCACCTGCACGCTGGTCTGGTCTGCTTAAACCAGCCTTGCAGACAGCCCTGCACCAGGGCCCAGGAACCTGACCTCTGTTTGGATAGAAGAAAAGCATTCAGAAGCCCTGGGGATAGTGGCTACCAACTCAGGCCCTGGGACCTTTGGGCAGCTTCCTTCCTCTGAGCCTGGTTTCCTTATCTCTAAAATAGGGATAATAATGTCATCTCATATGGTCACCAGGAGGGCTAAAGAAAATAACCCATGTAGAGTACTACTATGTTTAGTTATTATCATTATTTGTTTCGTTATCTGCCCAAATCTGGCATGGCCTAGAGCAGGGGAAACAGCATTTCCTGGACTCTTATTCCTAAAGAGGCCCTTCTGTCTCCCTCTAGCATCCCCTCAACTTGATTTCAGTCAATAAACTTTTATGGAGAAGCCATGGTTCCTGCCCTCAAGGAGCTTAAGTCTGATGATGGACAGAATCCCCTTTAAAAGGACAGAGGTAGGGGCTGGGGATGTGGCTCAAGCAGTAGCACACTCGCCTGGCATGCAGGCAGCCCAGGTTCGAGCCTCAGCACCACATACCAACAAAGATGTTGTGTCCACTGAAAACTGAAAAATAAATATTAAAAAAAAAAAGGACAGAGGCAAACTGTCAGGGCCAGGCAGGAGCACTGGGGAAGGCAGCCTTAGTTCTTTAGCTGTACAGTTCTTTGCATTGATGGTGTGAATGGTCCACAAGCCCACGGCACACACTTCACAGGGCGTGAAAAGGTGTTAAATGTAAAGGAAATCTTCCGGCTGCCCTGTCTCTTAACCCATCACTTCTCTCTCTCTCAATCAGTCTGTATCCTTCAGTCTGTATTCTCAATCAGTCTGTATCCTTCAGTCTGTATCCTTCAGTCTGTATCCTTCAGTCTGTATCCTTCAGTCTGTATTCTCTGCCAGTGTATTCCTTTGAACATAACACATGTCATAGGGACATTATATCATACACATAATTTTGTCTCTTGTTTTTTTCACTTAATATATTTTGGTGATTTTTTTTTTAATAACAGTCCCTAAAGAGCTGGGTCACCTTTTCATTGCAGTTAGCAGGGCATCTCAATCTCTGATCAACTGACATCTTGGCCTGGTGGTTCTGTTGTGGAGGTGTCCTGTGCATTGCAAGATATTAGTATTTGTGGTCTCTATCCTGGAGAGCCAACAACACAGTCACCCTCCCCTTCCCCCTAGTTGTGACAAAATGTCTCTAGATATCACCAAATGTCCCTTCAGGGGAAAAGCACTCTGGGCTGAGAACCACTACTGTGTGGTACTCCATCTTTCAGATGGCACCATGATGTATGTAGCCAAGCCCCTATTGATGGACACCTAGGTTGTTCCTAATTTTTGCTAGGACTGAAAATGCTACAGTGACTACCCAGAGCATATGTCATTTTGCCCACATGTGAGGGCTAGCTTCCTAACTGTGAAACTACCTACCTAGACCGGAAGRCTCGTGTATTTTACATTCTGGCCAGTGGCACGGATCTGCTGGAAGAGGCATATTCTGTTGGAGAGACCCACCTGACTTCTCCTGGTTTATGGACCCTTGAAAACTATTGCTTCTCTCTCCAGAAAGAGGCACCCCCCATTCTGCATTAATGGCATCCTGATGCAAGATTCAAGGAAGTCCTCTCGTGTCTTGATCCCCTATAAGAGCGAGGGGTACAGTGAAGAAATCCCTACAYCAGATCCAAACAGAATCAAGAGGCATTCAGTGAGGGCTGGCCAATGGCAGAGGCGGAGGTGAAATTTGGAAAGGGAGGAATGGACTGGGGGAGAGGAGAAAAGGCCATCCAGCAGGGAGAAGCCATGAGAAGCAGCCTGTGGGGGTGGGTTCTGCTGGCGGGGAAACAAGGCATAGCCAGAGAGTGGGGTGCCAGAGAAGGGGTGCGGCTGGAGAGAGGCGCCCGATCAGGGAGGAGCTGGGATGCCTCGTGAGGCTGGGACTTTACCAGTGGACACTAGAAGCCTTTGCCTGGCTTGGTTTGGTTTTGTGTCCGAGGTACACTTACACATAGTGAAACAGCGACTCTCAGAGCGTTGAACCATTCCCTCGGCCTCTGGCTGCTCTGTACTTAACTCCTGTTAAGTTCTGTACTTAACCCCTCTTCCAGCCCCAGAAACTGGCAACCACGGATCTGTTCTCTGTCCCCAGAGCTGTGCTAATCCCAGAATGTCTTTCAGTGGAACATGTGGCACATTCCACCTTTTGGCTTGAGATCCAGCTTTTGTGGCTGCAAGCAACAGTCGGTTGTTCCTTTCACTGCCACAATAGAGAAGCAATAGTTTTCAAAACTCCATAAACCAGGCAAAGTCAGGTGGGTCTCTCCCTTGCTGGGATGTGCGGCAGGTTATCCATTCCCTAATGGAGGGATATTTGGGTTGTTTAGTCTGAGGAGATTAGGACTAACCACTCAAGGTCTTAAAGCCAGGGAATGGCCTGGTTAGGTCTGGCATTTGAAGATGCTCAGCGGGCTCTGGGATGGGGGGACACCCAAGGGCAGGCTGCCACCAAGGGTGTTGAGGGTGTTGGTAGACAGAGCCGGGCTCTCACCACCCTCCCTCCGCTCTCCCGGCACAGGGTATGGCCACGCGGCGCCAGGCACGGACTCGGGCAAGGTCTTCTGCATGTTCTACGCCCTCCTGGGCATCCCCCTGACGCTGGTCATGTTCCAGAGCCTGGGCGAGCGGCTGAACGCGCTGGTGCGGTGCCTCCTGCTGGGGGCCAAGCGCTGCCTGGGCCTGCGACGGCCCCACGTGTCCACCGAGAACATGGTGGTGGCCGGGCTGCTGGCGTGCGCCGCCACCCTGGCGCTGGGGGCCGCCACCTTCTCGCACTTCGAGGGCTGGTCCTTCTTCCACGCCTACTACTACTGCTTCATCACCCTCACCACCATCGGCTTCGGGGACTTGGTGGCGCTGCAGAGCGAGGAGGCCCTGCAGAGGAAGCCGCCCTACGTGGCCTTCAGCTTCCTCTACATCCTGCTGGGGCTCACGGTCATCGGCGCCTTTCTCAACCTCGTCGTCCTGCGCTTCCTGGCCGCCAGCGCGGAGGGGCCCCAGCGCGCTGCCCGCCTGGCCGGCTCGCTTCACCGGGCGGCGCCCGAGAGCCACGCGCGGCCCCGCCGAGCCCCCGGCCCCGGCGGCTCCATCTGCCGCTCCTGCCGCCGCATCCGGCAGCTGGAGAGGTGCGCCCGCGACAATCTGGGCTTCTCGCCCCCCTCGAGCCCTGTGGCCGTGCGCGGCAGCAGGGCAGACAGGCCCCGGGCCCGGTCCATCTGACAGCCCTGGCCAGGCGGGGTCAAACCTGGTTGGGAGCATCTGGAGCATCTCCCAGCGCACCCACCCCGGGGCTTGGAGAGGAGCCAAGGCCTTGAGGTTGTCTTCTGCAAGGAGTGGCTCCTCACTACCTTCTGATGCTCATCTCTTCCAGCCCCTCCAAAATACGTTATGCTGCATCATAAGCACAAGCTAGACTGTAGGCACTCGGTAGGTGCAAATCCTAGTCCACATTGCTGCAGGAAGGCCTGGCCACAGCAGCACCTGGGAGAGCCCTTGGATAGGACCACCTTACCTGCTGGCCCTTCAGAGGGGAGACTTGTGGCTACGTGTTTTGTGAAGAGGTGGTGTCATGTGTGGCAGGGAAATGTACAACTTTCAGCACTGGAACCCTATGGGGAAGCCAGGTGCTCAAGCTAGAAGCATGGAGAACAGATGCACGGAAGGAAACCTCCCCAGCAGCCATTTTTTGCACATTTAAATGACTTCTTTCTGTTCATCCAGCTGATCCTTTGTCCTTAGCCAGCCCCACTCCCAGATGAAGGAGATCTTGCTGACAGCCCCTATGTCACTAGGACCCCACCCCCTGGAGGCAGCCCGGTGCTGTGGGAWGAACTTTATTTGGGGTCCTGCCGATCACCAGCATTGTGACTTTGGGAATSTCATTCTTTCCTTGGGCCTCAGTTTCCACATCAGTAAGACAATTGGGTGCATTTAGAACCCTGCTCCCTCCTGTGCATCTCCAGCAGGGCTTTCCCAGACAGGTCTCGGCCCCATTAGGGGATTAACAAAGACCCTGGTGGGGCATCCTGGCATCCCACAGCATTAAGACCCTTAGAACCTTTATCCCTCCAGAAAGAACCACCTCAACACAAACCAAGAACAAGCCCAGTTAGAAAAGCCAAAAACTTTAATGTTAACATGAGCTACATGGTCATGAACACGATGCGATGTGACCCACTCCAACCCAGGGGCCCCAGAAACCCTCCCTCCCCAAAGGTCTGGGCGGTCCTGCTCCTAGAGAGGGCATAAGGAAAAGGTGGGTGGGAGGGCCCCCAGCCTGAGGACCCAGGGTCCCGTTAACCCACCACCCCCTATAGGAGGCAGTTGTAGCATCAAAGGGCTCAGAGGTGACACCTTTGCCCCCATTCCAGCCTCCACTCGGCCCTCACAGACGCTTTGGGTGAAATGGGCATGAGCCCAGCCCTCGGGCCTCGTCAGGTGAGCTCTTGGGCTCAAAYACTTTCGTCCTCTGAGGTGCTGCTCTACAGACATGGGCCCTCCCAGAGGGCAGGGGAGCTGGTACAGGGGGAGGGAGGGGGTCGGTCCCCTTGGCCCAGCACAGCACTGCTGCTCAATAAATAAATGCAGGTGACCTTGCCTGATGCAACAGCTGTGCCTCAGAAAGGAGTGGAGCTCGTGGGGTTCCGAACACTGAAGCACCCCCGGGGCTCCTGGCCTAAGGAACTGGGTGGCGAGTCAGGCTGTAGAGTGGACAGCCRTCCCCTGAACTTCCAGCTGACCTCCTGGGGAAGAGTGAGCTTAGAGATGCTGGTCAGGGCTCAGCCACTCCCTCACAGCGGGACCTTCACCAAGCACTTTCCTCTCACCTTGCCCTCTTGATGGAGTCCACAACACAGGCTGCCCTCCACCTACTACCCAGGGCTCCTGTGGGGGTCAAGGGTATGAACCTGCAAGTGTGGAGAGCACGAGAGGAGGCAGGCCTGGCACAGGTGAAGGAGAGCGGGGAAGTCCCCAGAGGGTGGGTGCCTCTGCCCACTCCCTGTGCCCTGGCCGAAGCTGGTGTTTCTAACTCTCCCTCCAGCCAGTCCTGGAGAGCTATGGCCCTGGACAGAAGCCCCACCCACACATCCAAGCCTGGTCAAATCCTGCAGGCCCTCRGTCAGCTGGGCAGCCTGCTAGGAAGCCTCGGTCCCCTGGCAACCCTCTCCCCGAAATCCAGAAAAGACACTGGCCCAGTAGGTGGAGCAGAGCAGGGGTGTGCAGCCCGGGGCTGAGCTGGAAGATGGTCCTGGCACCTGCCCTGGCACGACCGTCTCCTGGTGCAGGAAGGAAGCCTGAAGGAGCCCCTCTTCTGCCCCAGCCACTGACTTGCAGGGGGTCCTGGGCAAGTCGTTCCCCACTGCTGGGCTTCAGCTGCCTAGGCTTTTGTAGGGATTACAATTTGTCCTGCCCCTATTTGCGGACCATTAGGAGGCTCTGAGGAGAGGGAAAGGGAGTGTGGCATGTGGCAGCCCCTTCATCCTGGTATGGCTCCAGCTCAGCCAGGTTGGAGGAGGAAGCCCAGGCTCAGGGTGCCACTGAGTGCCCAGGTGACCCCGGGGTGGCTCCTCCTGTGCCAGGCTAGATCTCATCTATAAAGTGGAAATGGACTAAAGGTCCCCAAAGCCCTTTCCCTTAGTATGAAAAGGCATCTGGACAAGGACGGTGGAGATGACACCCTCCCATGGCACCCCTGCATGTGACCTCTGCCCAGAGATGGAGAAAAGAATTGTCCCCTAGAGACCCCAGCGCTAGAAAGCCCCCCCAACTCCACCCTTTCTGCTCCTATCCAAATGGTGGAGTCAGAGTTGGCAAAGGATTAGACAGCAGCGGGGACAGGCTGGGCTTGAAGGCTGCCCAAAGCTAATGATGAAAATAATCACTCCCCCTCCCCAACCCCCCTCCTTTGGCGAGGACAGACGATGGTTCCCATACCCAATGGTCACAGCCCCTCCTAGGAGGGCACGTGCTCACGATGATGATACAAAGAAACAGGGCTCCAGCCCCCACCCCACCCCTCCAGGAGGTGAGCGAGATTTCACAGAACAAACAAGAAAATCATTGGGGGGGCCTCGCTGACCACCCCAGGGGGTAATTATTGCTTTGGAGAGCTCTCTCTCTCTCTCTCTCTCTCTCTCTCTCTCTCTCTCCCCTCCCCCCACCCCAAGGCTCTGCAGACACCCAAGGGAGGGCTCAGATGGAGGGGGGAGGACAAGTCAGCATGAGCTCCCTCCCCCTCTGCGTGGGACAGCCAGGCTCTGCCCCATCCTTGAAAAGTGGCCCCTGAAAAAACCACAGCAGTGATGGACAGAAAGAGAAGCCCTCTCTCCTCTCCTGGCTCAAAATATTTCAAATGGTGTATAATAAACAAACATCAGAGAAATCACAATGTTTAAAAAAATGGGGGAGGGACTGATGGTGGGCCTTGGATGGGAGCCCACCGAGCCCTGCTCCCTCGGGCCCCAGCCTCAGGATTCACCCCTGCGCGATCCTGAGAGGTTCTGAAGGCCTCGTGGACAAGAGGAGCATCTCCAGCGCTTCTTGCCGTGCAACTAAGAAGTTCCATGGAGGCGATGGAACGCAACCAGAATTTTAAAGGACACCCTGGGCCTAACCAGGCTGAGGGACCGAGAGTTCCACGTGGAAGCAAACCTCGGTGGAACCAAACAGCTCAGGTGTTCCCAGTGGAAAATGCGGCCCCGATGGCGCCCAGGCCCTCTCGGCAAGGCTCGGCCACCCTCAAGAGTGCCTTATAAAGAAAATCAGTACCAAGGGCAAGTAATCAGAACGTTGAGTACAGCGGGCAGCTCAGCTACGACCCTACAGCAAGAGGAAGGAAGGGGARGAGGAGGAGCAGCGGCTACCAGCAGGGCCCAGCCAGCCAGGAGACGAGCTCCTGCAAAGTCCTCGGGTCTCCTCTCCACCCCGTAAAAGACTAGTCGGAGCTAGGAACAGGCCCCGGGTGGGAACACTAAGTCTACCGGCTAACTGGACTACGCCCTACCCCGCAGGGACTAGGTGAAGAGGAAGGCAGGCTGCCCGGGCCTCGGGGAGGTGGCGGAAATGTGCTTCTATAACGACAGACCAGCCAGCCTGCGGCCTCCAGAGGCCTCCCTGGCATGTGAAAGGGCTCGGGGCCCAGCAGGGAAGGCAGCCGCCCAGGCTCCCAAATCTCAGCCCCTGCAGCATCCCACTCCTTCCCCTGAACCAAGAAGATCAAGGGAACCAAGGGGCTGTGCCTTCAGTGCAGGATGGTTGACAAAGACTAAAACGGGGGGCTCTAATGCCGCCCCAGACCCCTAAACTGAAGCAGAGGGGTAGAAAAGATGACCTTCAATCTCATCCAACAAGAAGGGTCCCCCTATTGGAAACCCTTACCATGGCACCGCCGGTCCCAATCCTAGCTTCCCCCAAGCCCCCTCCAACCCAGCATCCCCCACGTGCTGAGACGGCCATCTCCCTGGGCAGGGGTTCTGGAACCTCGGGGTCCCACAGCACTTCTACCAAAACACAGGTGACAGTGTCCTTCCAGTCCACCCACAGTTCCCAGACGAGTCTGTCACAGTGCCATGGAGCCAAGGGTCCCCTTGCCTCCATTCCTTCAGTTCCTGCTGGACCTCCATTCCTAGAGCCACCGGCAGAGGGGCAGGCAGGAGGGGATGGACAGATTGACTCGGACAGCTGCGGCAAAGCTCCTTCCACGGGCAGGCAGAGGGAGGCCCAAGCTCCTCTTCAAGTGGGGGTTGTGGGCCCCAGGAGCTGGCTCCGGATCCTTGCGAAGCTGCCCGGTCGGCTCTGGGGCAGGTGTCCTGCCTGAACCCGGTGCCGCAGGAAAGACACTTGCTGGTAATTGGCACCATGGAGATGGCCGGCTGGGTCCTCGACTTGGCTCTGGGCAGCAGCTTCCGAGGAGGCAAAAGGGGAAGAGGTGGGACAGTGTTTGGGCAGGTGGGGGGTTTGCTCTGCCACCTCCGTCTTCTTCCGACTGCAGCCACATCCACCAGGTCAAGGCCAGCCAAGTCAAAGTGCGCCAGCCCGCTGGGAGAGGGAAGGTCTCGGGGAGGAGGCAAAGAAAGGTGAGGAGGGGCCCGAGGGGGGCAGGTCTCCCCATTCTGCTTCCCCCGCTGTGGGGGAGAACCCCATCCTCCTCTGTTCAATGTGCCCCTGGGCCTGGGGTCCCAGGTCAGGGCTGGGTGGTCTCCAGCCATCTCGGGGAGCCCCTCCCCATCCCCGGCACTAAGATCGCTCACCACAGGGCCCCACGGTGCTCTCAAGGGACAACTGGGATGCCTGCCGGAGCAGGGGGCCTGTGGCTGGGTCCACCATGGAGGAGGTGGGGAAGAGCTTGTACCAGCCCACGGCCAGGGTGGTCAAGTCCAGCTCCTCCAGCAGCACGCGGGCCACACCCATGAACTGCTTCCGCTCCATCCGCCCGTAGTTCCCCCACACGATCACCTGCAGGGCGAGAGACACGGGTCTGAAGCCTGCCCGGCAACTCACGGGCTCCAAACAAGAACCTGAGGTCCACACACAGGGTCACGGTCAAACGAGGGCTGGCTTCGTGGCCATGTGTCTAAACAGGCTGTGGGCTCCACCTCCCCCAACCCTATGCAAAACAGTCCAGTTTCACCGTTGTCTAATGGAGGCCCAGAGTGAAATCCTTTTCCTGAGCTTGCTCCTCGGAGAGCTGATGGGGGGCCCACTTCCGGTGCGTGGATAGATTCGTCTACACTGGTGCCAAGGACTGRCCGGGTCCCCACCACTTAGACACTGAAGCTCTAAGCTCCACCTCCTAAGACTGGGACTGTGCTAGGTTATCAGGGGCATCAAGTTAAGTTAAAATGAGGGTGGGCCCCCATCTAATCCGACAGGGGCCCTTTGGACACATGGAGAGACACCAGGGGCATCACTCATGGTGAGTCTGTCCCACTGTGACATTTGTCGGGTCATCCACCAGCAAGGACCCAAGTCGGCTTTCTGCTTCCCCACTCCCTCCACATCCCAGAAGGGACCTGCCCTGAGGACCAGAACACACAGACCTTTGTCCAGCAGGCCAGGGGGGGTCCTGAGATGGTCTTCAGGCTGTTTCAAATGCTATTTGAACACCCCTGGGCCAGCTGTGTTTTCCAGACATTTCTGACAGTGACCTGAGGCAAGGAAGGTACTGCCCCACCACCCAGTGTGCACCTGGCACGTACAGTTGAGGAAGGTGCCACCAGATACGGTTACCTTACTAAGAGCGGTGGAGGCTTTCCTTCTTACCCCCATTCCATTTTTTAAAATATTATTCCTTGAGACCTGCTAAAACTGACTCACAACTCACTCACGGGTCTCGGCCCCCGTGGTGGAAAACCCTGCCCTCTACAGGACCTGGGCTTCTGGTTTTGCCAAAGTCCTCCTCTCTGGCCCCTGTTGCTTTGCCTGTCTGGGCTGGATGCAAGAAATGAGATGCAGGCAGGGATGCCCAGGTGGCACAGAGAGCCAGGCAGAGGGTCCTGTGGGCATTAACCAGGCCCTGCCTGCCCCACGATGGGCACTCTTCAGCTGGTCTCAGTAACCGCCGGGGTGGGGCCAAACCTCTGTGGTCTGCCAGACTCAGAAGGCTGCTTCGGCAGGGGCAGGTACACTGTGGGCACGGATCAGCCCCGGTGCTCGGCTCCTTCCGGGGGGGCCTCCAGAGGCACGATGCCCAGACTCGGGTACCACACCCTCGTGTCCACGCACACACATACACAAACAGAGCCTCACCTGCAGGACTTTGCCCTGGGGACTCTCAGGAAACAGCAGCACCTGGTTGTACAGCGGGTCTAGCGACTTGCGAGCGACTTTGGTCTTCTTCTTAGCGATGCAGACCCCGTTCTCTAGCAGGTAGGCCTTGATGTAGGCCGCTGGGGACAGAGGCCAGTGGGAGAAGTTCTAGGCTGGCCCCTCATGGGGTGGGCAAAGGGGTGCCGCCCACCCACTGCCCAGAGAGGAGTGGCCCCAGGGAGTCTGGGAGGAGGCCCAGGAGCAAGTGGGGCATGGTGGGTGGTGGGTGCAGCTAGCACTGGGCGGCCCCCTCTCCTCAGGCCTTCCCCTCCCCTGCTCTGCACTCCCCTGTCCTCTCAGCCCACCACCTGCCCACCCCCCCTTCACATTCATTGCTGACCCACTCAACAAGCTGACGAGGCACGTGTGGAGTCCCCTGCTAGTCACGGGGTACAGCTACAGACCGGAAACACGTGCGCCTTCCCAGAGCTCACTGCAGCGGCCGGACAGACAAGGCTGACCCACAATCTCCACTGGGTCCCTGGGGCCAACACTAAACCACCAGCTCCACGTAAGCCACCAGCTTTGGGACAGAGGAGCCTCCCATGATTGGGCCCCAGTCTCTCTCTTCTAGACCCTCTCGGACCTCCACCCAAGGCTTGCAGAGAGGAGCTGGCCCCACACCTGGCAGTGTCTTGGAGCCTGGTTTGGCTGTCAGTCCCCGAGCCTGGATGATGTCCACTTCCAGCTGACCATTCCGCTCCTGTAAGCCGATCTCCACGTCACCTGCAGGAGGCCCCCGGAGATGACACTGAGAAATGGGAACTCAGCAAGGACCCAGCGGCTCCTCTCTGCTTAGGGATGAAAGCCCCTTCCCCTGCTCCAGCCCGAATAAGACCAGGGTCCAGGCTCTGCCAGGGCGTGACCAGGCAGAGCAGGCTCCAGGTGGGGTACCCAGAGCAGGGCAGAGGGGAAGGGGAGACGCAGGACTTCCATTGGGACTCCCCATTCCCGTCCACAGGTAGCAGGCATCTGGGGACTTACCCATGGGTGTGGTGGCCAGGGTCTGGCGGCCCACAAACTGCGCTGGCCCCATGCTGCCCAGGAAGTCACTGAACTGGGCATCCGATGCCAGACAGACTCCCCCGTAGTTGAGGCTGCAAGGAGAAAAGGTGAACATGAATGTTCCCAGGGTGAGACAGAACTCCGGAACCGGGGCAGGTAGCTCCAGAACGTTCCCCTCTCCCTGCGGATGGTTGTCCACATCCATCACCCAGACTCTCCTCGCTGAGCCTCCAGGGAATGGCCAAGCGGACGCTGACCTCTCGGGCTGTGAGAACCTCAGGAGATGGTTTGCTACAGGCCAGGCTCCTGTTCTCTGAGGCCTTGATCCTCCAAGGGCGGTCCGGAGCCGGCAGCATCACCTCCCCTGGAGCTAACGGATCACACTGCACCTGACTCCACCCCCTCCCCCTCTGTGGAATCAGAACCTGCAGTTTAGCCTGAGTCCCCGACGACCACTTTACACACCAAAGTTTGAGGTGTCCCGACAGCAGCTTGGGACCTCAAGGTGAGCTGCTGTGGCTGCTGCCTGGCTACCAAAGTCCACTTCCCCTTCCTTTGGTAATAAGATCTCAAATTTCCTTTGGGGATCCCTCTCCATGGCATGTGACTGCAGTGGCTGAGCCGGCACCTCAGCTGGCCAATCAGGCCATTCCTTCTCCTTGGCCAGCTGGCAGAGAGAATCAGGCTGTGGCCTAATTCAGTCAACAAGAATCTGCCTGGGAGCTTGGTACGAATTTGAGAGCAAGAGCTCTTTCCCCACCAGATGTGGGCCTCAGACATAGGAATGGAGCTTCATGGAGCTGAGCCATGGGATGGCCTGTCCCCCTGCAAAGCACCTGCAGACTCTACCAGTCCCCATCCTGGCTGCCCACGTCCCTCGACACTGTGAGGCACCCCAGTTGGCCAGCAGGTTCTGGTTTTGGGTAAGCAGCCATCAGGTCAATGCAGGATGGTAACTTGACATTCTAGCCCGCCCGAGTGCTTTCCACTGTCACAATTCCCACTCCCCCTGCCCTGTCCTCCACAGAGGCAGCAGCAGATTGTCTGATGTCCACTGCCTCAGAGGAGGGCAGCCCTTAGGGTGCAGAGATCAAGAGAGGCTTTTGGCTTTTCAGTCCCAAGAAACAGACCAGCCAGAGAGACAAGAAAGTCAGGCAAGGTTCAAAATGACCAGAATGACGGGTGGTGTCTCAGGGCCTCCCGCTCTGCCTCCACGGTCCCTGCAGCTCAGTGATGACAGCCAGCATGACCCAGCTAAGCACAGTTCCCTGGCACACTAGGAACTACAGCCAGGGTCCCTCTCACTCTTCACTCATTCGACAAGTGTTTCTGGAGCACACACTACTTCCAGGCACTGTTCTGGATATAGAATGTGTCAGGGAACAAGTCAGTGATCCTGCCCTCGAGTGCTTAGACCCTAGAGGAGGAAGACACATAAAAACAAAATATTATCCCTAAATTATATAGTATGTCAGATGGCAGTAAATGTTGGTGGGGGGAGAGGACAAGAAAATTCCAGYGTGTGGGTGCTGGCTGCAATGCTGAACAGTCGATCAGGGTCTGTCCTGAGGTCTCTACTTCAGCTGTCCCTCCGTATCCACAGGGATGGGTTCCAGGACCTCAGAGACCAAAACCCGGATTTAAACAGTGTAGGATTTGCACCTGATCCTCACGTATATTTTAATTTGATCCTGTCTCAATTACTCAGACACCTAGCACAGTGGAAATGCTATTTAAATGACTGTTACACCTTACATTATGTGGGGAATAATGACGAGAAAGGAAAACATCTGTACCTGTTCAGTACAGTTGTAAACAATGGAGACCCGAAGCCCGCCAAGGCGCTCAGAGCTCTGAGAAGGGGGTGCAGTGGGGGCCTCCCCAACTCCCTTGTGAGAGTCCAGCATGGTGCTTGGCGTGTGGCAGGTCCACGTTTTGACTCTGGGAACTTTGGGGAAATTTTTCTTCAGATATTATTGATCTGAGGTTGGTTGGATCTACAGATGCAGAACCCCTGGGTACAAAGGGCTGGTTGTACTTTGAACGTTACCCCAAGGCCTCTTTTAGCAATTTACACAGAGCCTTTCTACGTAAACTTCCACATAAGCACAAGCCTCGGGGAAATCTGAACCAAGTCAGATTGACTTTCCCCAAACACCCGAAAAATGGAGACTCCATACTGAGAGTCAAAATAGCAAAGTCCAGAGCTTACAGTCACCTGGCATCTCGGGGCTCCTACAGGTTTTAACTGCTTCTGCCTTTCGGCCCCAGGCTGCTACTCTTCCTGAGCTCATGACACAGATTGGCGGGAGAGGTCGGAACCCTGCCCACCCTCCTGCCCTCTCTGGGCTCAGCTCGCCGCAGGCTCACACAGACCACACAGTCTGAGGGCTGGATTTCGGCTGTGACAGCACTTTCCACCTGTGCGCAGGGCAGGCTGGAAGCTCCCAAGGGTTAACACCCCAGAAACAGCCCCAACCAGTGACAAACTGGGAGTGGTGTGCCGCAGGGATGACCGGGTCCCACATTCAACACGGTCTCCCTGCGTCCACGGCCCACGGTGGTCACAGGCTGAGTAACCCTCCTGCCCGGCTCCTTCTCCTCCCATCTCCTTCCTCATGCTGCCCCGTCGCTGGGGACTCCAGGGAACACCTCACAAAGCACTCATCTCACTTTCATCTTGGAGTCTGCGTCTGCTTCTGAGAGAAACCGAACCAAGACAGACGCTGAGCAGTTCTGGAGCCCAGGTCGCCGGGCTTCTGTGGCTGCCATCCGGACGACTTTACAATGCTGTATTTCTAATCGATCAAGTACCTAAGAAAATACCGCCACTCAAACACTGGGGACTGGAATACGGACTCGGTAATACTCTGATAAAACCCAAGGCCCTGAGTTAACATCACCAGGCCAACAGCAGAGCTGGGGCCACCAGGCCTTCCCTCCAGGCCCTGGGGCTCTCCGCCCGCCCTCTCAGCCCTCTGAGGGGCACAGGAGGCTGTCTTGTAAGGTGGGTGGACTCTAAAAGCCAAAGAAATGGCTGGGCCACTGGGCTCCGAGGCGTGGAAGGAGCCCAGCCGCTCAGGCAGAGAGGCCTTCCACAGCCCGAAATTGAAAGTTTCCTCCACCGTTGTCACTGCCTGCTCCTCGGTTCCTGGTGGGGTGTGAGCAGACAATGGGGAACTGGCAGGCCTGGTAATTAGTGGTAATTGTTTCTAATATCTGGGCGGCTGCCTGATTTCCCATCCCAGGGCGCCTCGCTGGCTGCCAGGGAACCAGGCTAATGCCCTGGAAACCCCGAGCCAGCGCGTCCTCCACGGGCTGGAGGAGGAGGTCAGTGTGGCCGCTTCCTGCTGGCCGAAGGGCTGCGGCTCCGGAGACCCCCTCCACCTTGGGTCTCCCCTGGAGCAGGAAAAAAGGCTGCTAAGTCAGACCTGGAGCTCTGACAAGTTGCTGTCGTCAGTGCATTTTAGTGCTCCTATCTGTCAACAAGATGGCATGACCCTGTGGAGAGGGGACAGTCATTTAGGAGGCTGGAGCCTATGCTCTTATCAGTTGTAAATGTTTCCAAATTGTCTTCTTACAGGGCTCATTAGCAGAGGCACACTTAGAGCTGGCTGAATTATGAAGTGCCACATCATGCTACTACTTAGACCAGTCCTGGTATGCAACAGGAGCTTAATACATGTTCATTATCAAACCCCACAGCTGGTCTCAAACAGGCAGAATGAAGGATACTGGTTAAGATTGGACTTTGGCAGAACATGGACCTTGGATCCTATGTGCAATCTGGGACTGTTTCCTTCTTCCTTCCTTCTTCCTTCCTTCCTTCCTTGTGTGCAATCTGGGACTGTTTCCTTCTTCCTTCCTCCTTCCTTCCTTCCTTCCTTCCTTCCTTCCTTCCTTCCTTCCTTCCTTTTTGGTATTGGATATTGACCCCAGGAGCACTCTACCACTGAGTTACAGTGGTAGCGATCTCCCTACCTCAGCTTCCTCCTAATTGACTGTCCAATCTCCACTCTTTTGGGGAGTGGGGGTGGGGGTAGCAGGAATTGAACTCGGGGGCACTCAACCACTGAGCCACATCCCCAGCCCTATTTGCTTGCATTTGACTTAGAGACAGGGTCTCCCTGAGTTGTTTCACGCCTTGCTTTTTGCTGAGGCTGGCTTTGAACTCGCAGTCCTCCTGTCTCAGCCTCCTGAGCTGCTGGGATTACAGGTGTATGACATCGTGCCGGACCCCAGAACTTTCTATTTTGGATTTTGAGTCAGGGTCTTGCTAAGTTGCCAAGGCTGATCTTGAACTTGCGATCTCCTTGCCTCAGCCTCCTCCTGAGTCAGTGGGATCAGCAGGATCTGTGGGAGCAAGTTTTTAATCTCTCTTAGCTGCAGTTTCCTTATTTATAAAATGGGAATAAATGGTAATTGCCTTGCTGAATTGCTGGGGAGAGCTGGTGAGATAAGTCAGACTCTGCACAGAGGATCTGCTGTGAACCCAGGAGGGAGACGCCCTGGCCTGGCCTGCGGGGCCTCCTCTTGGCACTCTCATGGCTTCTCCAGGCCTGTTAGGCAGTGCAGCAGCTGGACGTCTGCAACCCAGCCCCGGCCATCTGGAGGGGTGGGGCAGGGCTGCAGGCCAGGTTCCTCCAGGGATGGCAGGCCCTGAAACAGGGGACACCCGTGTTCGACTGGCCTTTCATTTTGTGTTCATGGTGAAATGAGATTTCTTGCACTTCAAATTCCGTTAGTTTTGTTCATGGACCTAAAAGTCATCTGTTTTTTTTTTTTTATCATTAACCTTTGAGCTTGGTTTGGCCCCTGGATTTTCTGTGCTCTTGATAGTTGAAGTAATAATTGGGTTTTCTGGGGTTCACTCCAGTCTCTTTTCCAGATGGGTCACCGGTCTCCACAGCATCAGGAATCTTAAGGTTGCAAAAGCCTCGCGGTGATGACTGGCTACAGGGTTCTCTGAAAGCTCCTGGGAATTCACTGCCCACTTGTGCACCCCTGCATGTCTGTCTGTCCAACCACCCTGCCAGGCCTACAAATACATCAATTCTGCTGTAGTGCAAAGTATGCAGTTCTAAAAATTACT